AACAGACTAAAACTTTCAGGTTTCAACTTTTTCCCAAAGCAAAAAGCGAGGCAAAAAGTTTTGGTACAAAAAAAAAACGTGAATAACACTGGTGACAGCGGTGGGATTCACGGCGAATACACAATGTTGCAATCTTTATCAAACGGAATAATGGTTTCAATTGAAAATGATAATTTACGACAGTTATTAATAGGAAAAATATTTTAGGTAGTTGCATATATATACAAGAAATGAATAATGTGATAACTTGTGTGATAACTAAATTCATGCTTTTAAAATCTATATCAAACGCTTTTATTGTCATGGTTTATACATTGCGTGTTCGACTTATATGTATAATAATAATTCACACACGAATGACTTTTTTCTTGCGTTGAGAATTTTTAAGGGTGGAGACGAGAAAAGATTTATAAGGGCAGTAGAGACGCCGATAAAGAAGTAAAAGAGACTCGTCACACTGGTACTTGTCGAGTCAAAGAAATCCCACAACCCTCTTGTATATATATAGAACTAGAAAACGGAAAATTCGTTATGGTGTGCGACGCTAATATCCGGACCAACCCCTTATGAGACAGCCATCATTTAGACCCTATGCACACAAATATGGCGAATCTACGCATCCCTTCAAAATTTTATTGGCGCCGCCCTTTAATACTTCTTTCTCAAACTAAAGAAGTGAAATGAACAAATATATTTTTATTAAAATATTATTTTAATTAACAGATTCTTTAATGTCTATACATAGCACTAAAACACGGAGAAAATTTATTCCTGAAATTTTACTGAATTTAGTAAAATTGTCGGTCAAACTGGGATGAACCGTCAAAACAGGAATTTTTCAAGAAAAATTACATTCACTTTCACTTACACATATTCAGCTCTAAAAATATCTTTAAACTTCCAAATACCAAAAACTTAATAAGAATTACAAACAAAAAAATTTTTCTTCCCTAATAGAAATTTTTATATGGCAAAGAGATAAAAACATTTTTTAATTTTAAGATAAATTTTCTTAAAAATCTTTAACAGGCAAAATTCCAAAAGTTTTTTTTAAATTAAAAAAAAATATTTACTGTTCCTGAACTATGGCAAGAACAATACCAATTAATATCTGGGTAATCAAAATTAATTTAATTCACAATTCATAAAAAGTAACCACAGCCGATAATCAGTAGAAAATGAAAAATTATTTTTTGGGCGAACTTTATCTTCTGTTTACTAACAAATTTTAGTCATAACATTTTTTACTGGTCCCAAACTATTGCTGGAACAATTCCAATAATTATCTGAGTCATCAAAATTAATTTAATTCACAATTCATAAAAAGTAACCACAGCCGATAATCAGCAGAAGATCAAACATTTTTTGTGCGAACTTTATGTTCTGGTTACTAAAAATTGTTAGTCAAACAATTGTTTATTGCTCTCAAACTATTGCTACAACAATTTTATTAATTATCTGTGACATCAAAATTAATTTAATACACAATATAATAAAAAGTAACCACAGCCGATAATCGGCAGAAGATGAAAAATTAGTTTTTGAGCAAACTTTATCTTCTGTTTATTAACAATTGTCAGTACAAAAATTGCTTTCTGTTCCCAAACTATTGCTAGAACAATTTAAATAATCATCGGTGACATCAAAATTAATAATTAATTTATAAATTTGTTAGTACAAAAATTTTGTTTTTCCATCTATTAGGGAATTTAAAGTATTGACAATTCTAAAACAGAGAATATTCTTATTAATACAACCAGAAATCTTTGTTAAATTATGTAGAATTCTGGTTAATCTAACCCTAGAGAATCTAGTAAGATCATATTTAATCACAGGGAAAAATATTTGTTAAATTTGTTGCTTGTAGTTTTCAGATGGTGTTATTTTAATACCCATTAAAAATGTATATATTAATTTAACACTCTCTAGTGTTAATTTAACACACCCACGTGAAACGATTCTACGAAAATTCCGTAAAAAATTTCCTTACAGAATCTTTGCAAATATTCCACATTGAATAGTTTTCGATAACTATAAAAAATTATTAACATTTAATATAAATTCTAAATTCTAAATTAACTCTTAATTAAATGTTATTAAATATTAATTATATTATTAATTATAAATTATTATTAATATAAATAATATTTCAAACTGTTATCAACTCCAATTGGAGTTGGTAATAGTTTAACAGTTTTTTATCAGCCAAGGATTTTTTGCCGTTTAAAATTAATACAAAAAAATTGAAAATTTAAAAAAATATAATGATAAGGAAATAATATTAAAAAGTATAAAAAAACTGTTACCAACTCAAATTGGAGTTGGTGACTTCTTTGCCTTTACTTCCTTTTTTAATTCAATGCCAATTGAATATTTAATTTATGTATTTATATATTTATATTATACTTGTGAACCTGAGTTGATAAATTAAATATTTACCAAGTTATTACGTTTACGGAAGAAAGTAAAATATAGTATAATTATACATTTTAGAAAAAAA